CACCCGATCATCAGCATAGCACACTGCAGCCCAGAACTCCTGGACTCAAGCGATCCTCTGGGCTCAGCCTACCGAGTAGCTGGGATTACAGGTATGTACCACCCCGCCTGGCCTGTGAGCGTTACTGGCTCCCCTGGAAGGACAAATCTGGTGTGGACACCTAGGGTTGCCTGGGGGAAAGGGCACTGCAGCGATCCAGGGGGACTTCAGAGCTGCCTTCAAGCAGGGCTTCAAAGACAACCTTCCTACCCGAGGGAAGATCTGTGCCCCTCCCTGCTCTTCAATAAACAGTTCTTGCTTGTGGGAAAACCAGTCCAGCCTGTTTCCTTCTTTTCTCCTCCATTTTTCTAACATCTCCTAAAAACTCCATCACCTTTACACACATGGCCTGGTTATCCAGCAAGCATTCAATACATGTTTGGGGGAAGTGGAGGTATGGCTCAAGAGACAAGAGTGCCAACCTTGAATGAAAAAGCTAAGTGTAAAATACGAGGCCCTGAGTTCAACCCCCCAGTAACAGAACAACAGCACATTGAAGGAGGAGGGGACACACACACCCTGGTCCAACACACACACACACACACACACACACCCTGGTCCAGCCAGCCCATTGAGGGCAAAAGTGAAGTCTGAAGAGAGGTCAAGTTGCTATCAGAAAGCCACTAAACCCCAGCCTTAACCCATTTTTTTTTCTTTTTGTTGGTTGAGGGGCTTGAACTCTGGGCTAGGGCACTGTCCCTCAGCTCTTCAGCTCAAGGCAAGCACTCTACCACTTGAGCCACAGTGCCACTTCTGGTTTTCTGATGGTTAATTGAAGATGTGTCTGGCAGACTTTCCTTGCTTGGACTGGCTTTGACCTGCGATCCTCAGATCTCAGCCTTCTGAGTAGCTAGGATTACGGGCATGAGCCACCAGCACACGGCTTTTTGTTTTTTAGAATTTATTATTATAGAAGTGATATACAGAGAGGTTATATTTACAAGTGTCAGGTAATGAGTACATTTCCTTTTGTACAGTTTTTATCTGTTCCCTCATTCTTTCCCAATCCCTCCCTCCCATCTCCACCCACTTTCATCAATGTCCTGTGTGATTTACTTTTTCACTCTTTTTCTTTGGATTCTGTGCCCTCCCTGCCCCCTTGTTTGATTTCTTAGTGTCATGGGGTACTCAGCCAGAAATATTTCTAATTGATTATGAACTGAACTCTCATGGGCACCAGTGGTTCATACCTGTAATCTTAGCTACTCAGGAGACTGAGATTTGAGGATCATCATTTGAAGCCTGCCAGGGCAGAAAAGTCTGTGAGACTCATTTCCAATGAACCAACAAAAAGTGTAATCTTTTGCTAGTGTAATCTTTAGCAAAAAAAAGCTAAGGGATGATGCTTAGGCCCTGAGTTTAAACCCCAGCACTGGCACAAAATAAAGTAAAATATAAACAACTGAACTGAACACCCAGGAATTGGACAGATGCTCATCTAACAAGATAGATTCACATAGTACACAGGGCTGGCCAAAGGCTCAGGGAAAGCTTTTTGTCTTGATTGTAAACAATCTTGTCTCCCCCTCCCCAGCCCCCCTCTCCTACTTCTCTCCAGACAGTTCTAGAACAATTGGGAGAGGGGCAGCTGAGTGCACCCCACCCTCTCCCCTAATCCCAGTCAGTTGATGTGCTAAGATTATTTGACACCACCCACTTTGCCTCTGACTTACTATTTTAAACCAAATACCATTTTCCAAAATCCAAACCCTATCCATTTTGGACCAGTTGGTTTAATCCCAGAGACAGAAGCTGTAATAACCCAGACCTGGTGTGTCTGGAAAAATCTTGGTGTCTATAAAGAGCTTCGGAGAAATAAGGCGGGGAGGGAGCGGAAAGAAAAAGAGGGAAGAGGAAGAGAAAGCAGGAAGGCATTATTTGGAGCAAGGTCAGCCAGCCCAGCTGGAAAAGGCAATAGACTTGGGGAAAGCCAAAAGTACCACTTAGCCAGATTGCCAGATCTTGAGCAAGCTATTGTATAATTACCACCCCAAATGGAAAGAAAGAAAAGACAAAAATTGGGACATATTTTTGGTCTTGCTCAGGAGCCCAGAACATGCTCATAACTCCAGGAATCTCTGCTCTTCCCTGCAGATGGAAAATATGATCCATGAGAATGAACTTGAACATTGGAGTATGTGTCTCTTTGCCTGGCCTTGTAATGGGGACAGGATGCTGAGCTTCGTCTCACCTCGTGACTGCTTCCCAGAGACCCTGTGCTCCGAGCACCTAACTCCTTTTGATGGTCAAAATAATAAGATGGTGGCTTCAGAGTCAAACTCCAGAAAGTGCATTTATTGACATCTGCCCTGGGCTACACAAAGCCTGTAAGTAAGAACAAAGCAGATACATAGGGAAGCAAAACATCATTGACAACACAATGTAATTATGTATGTGGGGGATGCTCTTTCCAGGCTTCATAAAGGAACCATGAAGCCAGGTGCCAGTGACTCACACCTGTAATCTTAGCTACTCAGGAGACTGAGGGAGGGTCACAGTTTGAAGCCAGCCTGGGCAGGAAACTCCATGAGACTTATCTCCAATAAACTACTCAAAAAAGCTAGAAGTGGCACTGTGGCTCAAGTGGTAGAGTGCTCACCTTGAGCAAAAGAAGCTCAGAGACAGCACCCAGGCCTGTGGGGAGGGGGGGCGGGGAGAAGGAGGAGGAACTATGATTGTAAAAGGCAACTCAGAAGATATTCTTGAGGGGCTGGGAAGGTGGCTCAGCGGTAGAGCGCTTGCCTTGCATGCCTGAGGCCCTGGGTTCAATTCCTTAACACCACATAAGCAGAAAAAAAAAAAAAGCCAGAAGTGGCGCTGTGGCTCAAGTGGTAGAGCGCTAGCCTTGAGCTGAAGAGCTGAGGGACAGCGCCCAGGCCCAGAATTCAGGCCCATGACCAGACCAAAAAAAAAAAAAAAAAAAAACACCTTCTGGGGCTGGGAATGTGGCTCAGTGGTAGAGTATTTGCCTAATATGAATGAAGCCCTGGGTTCCATTCCTCAGTACCACATAAACAGAAAAAGCCAAAAGTGGTACTGTGGCTCAAGTAGTAGACTGCTAGCCTTGAGCAAAAAAAAGCTCAGGAACAGTGCCCAGGCCCTGAGTTCAAGTCCCAGGACTGGCCAAAAAAATTTACCTTTTGGTCAGGTGTCACTAATCCTAGCTAATCCAGAAGTTGAGATCTGAAGATTGCAATTCAAAGTCAGGCCAGGCAGGAAATTCTTTGAGACTCTTACCTCCAATTAATCACCCAAAATCCAAGTGTGGCTCAAGTGGTTGAGCGCTAGCCTTGAGTACAAACGCTCAAGGACAGTGCCCAGGGCCCAGGTCCTGAGTTCAAGCCTAGGATCAATACACACACACACACACATGCACTAACCCTACCCTCCTCTCCCTCCCACCTCTGCCGCCAAAAAAAAAGCCCACATCCCTTGACTTGTGTGCTATCTCTGTGTCCCTGAGGGCATACCACAGAAAACCCTGAGTTGTCACCACCAGTCCTGTGGCACGCCCAGGATCCCTGGGAACCAGATAGGCTTACCTATGACCGTGAGCTGAGCAACCTGGGACTTCGCAGCCCCAGCATCACTCTGTGCCTTACAAAAGTACTCTCCAGCCTGGTCCTGCTGCAGATCTCTCAGTACCAGCTTGCTCTCGTGCTTGTAGAGGGATGGATCCAGTAGCGTGTCATTGTGATACCTGCAAGAATGGAGAGGTCAAGTCTGAGCAAGCTGCACATGTTGGGGGGGGGGTGGAGGGTATCCATGGGGACAGTGCCAGGACCAAATAGCTAGGAAGATGGGTGGAGGATGAGTTCCTGCAGATCTCAGCACCACTTGTGACATGGCTCACCTAAGAATATGGATTGCACTGGGAGTGGAGTAATTGGGTCTCCCTAGTCCTCTCCCCGCCCCCCACACACACTTAACTGGCTGTGCATCCTTGGATGTATCATCTCACCTCTCTGGTTTACAAAACAACAGGAATGAAGCCAGGTAGTGGGTCTATGCCTGTAATCCTAGCTACTCAGGAGGCTAAGATCTATAGGATTGAGGTTCAAAGTCAGTGCAGGCAGAAAAGTTTGCTTGACTCTATCTCCAAAATAACTATGGAAAAGCAGGACTGGCGAAGCACTGTCTCACACCAGTAATCCTACTACTCAGATGCTGAGATCTGAGGATCACAGTTCAAAGCCAGACTTGGGCAGGAAAGTCCCTGAGACTCTTATCTCTAATTAACCACAAAAAAGCTGGAAGTGGAGCTGTGGCTCAAGTGATAGAGCACCAGCCTTGAATATAAAAGCTGAGGGACAGTGTCTAAGCCTTGAATTCAAGCCCCAAGGACTAGCATTAAAAATAAAAATTTAAAAAGGCAGGCTTAGCCAGGTATTGGTGGCTCTTGCCTATAACCCTACCTACTTAGAAGGCTGAGATCTGAGGACCACAGGACAAAGCCAGCCCATGTAGGAAAGTCTGTGAGACTCTTACCTCCAATTAACCACCAGAAAATCATAAGTGGAACTGTGACTCAAACTGGTAGAACACCAGCCTTGAACAAAAAAAAAAGCTCAGGGACAGCTGGGCACCAGTGGCTCACGTCTGTAATCCCAGCTACTCAGGAGACTGAGATTTGAGGATCACAGTTCAAAGCCAGCCCGGGCAGGGAAGTCTGTGAGACTCTTATCTCCAGCAAACCACCAGAAAACCGGAGGCGCTGTGGCTCAAGTGGTAGAGCACTAGCCTTGAGCTGAAGAGCTGAGGGACAGTGCCTAGGCCCAGAGTTCAAGCCCCACAACTGACCTTCCCCCCACCAAAAAAAAGAAAAAAGAAAAAGAAAGCTCAGGGACAGAACTTAGTCCCTGAGTTCAAGCCCCATGACCGACCGGAAAAAAAAAAAAAGCAGGACTCATAGCACTGGGGTATTCTGGCCTTGTCTGTCTTTGATACAGAAGCATGAAAACTATAGAAATCTTGTTCTGTGTGTGCAGGTCAGATCCCTGTGAGCAGAGATAGTCTGGAAGACCCCAGCATTGAGATGCCAGTGTGCTTACTGGTATAGTTTGGGCAGCCTCTACCCAGGAATCCCCATTTACAATTGAGCATATACAGGCCACACCCCAGGGCCTGACTGCTAACACTTGTCTGTTGGTTATTATTATTATTATTATTTAGACTCAGTGGAAGCAAGCTGATTTCCAAGAAGAGAATTGAGCAGGGCGGCTGGCAGCATACACACCAGAAGTACTTGTCTGGACTGGGCTTGCCCGTGGCCTTGCAGCACAGGGAAACACTCTGCCCGGATCTCCGTGCTTTGCTCGCAGGGTTCATCACAATGTAGGGAGTTTCTGCGACAGAAGATGGGAAACATTTATTTATTTGTGCTTTGGTTATTTGTTTGTTTAATAACAGGTTCTGTAGAGTTGTTCTCTCAGGTATTTGTTGGTGCTTAAGTTGAATAGCTTCACCCTACTCTGAGTGTTTCCTTTCCTTTCTTTCCCTTTCCCTTTCCTTTCCTTTCTTTTCCTTTTCTTCTTTTCTTTCCTTTCTTCCTTCCTTCCTTCCTCTCCCTTTCTTTCTTCTTCTTTCTTTTCTTCCTTCCTTCCTTTCTCCCTTCCCTCCTTCCTTCCATCCTTCCCCCCCTCTTTCTTTTCTTTTTTATGCCAATATTGAGGCTTGAACTCAAGGCATTGCACTGTGGCTTGGCTTTTTTTTTAACTCAAGGCTGGTGCTTTACCACTTAAACCACATCTCCACTTCCACCTTTTCTTTATTTCTTTTTTTTTGAGGGGGAGGGGGTTGTTAATTGGAGGTAAGACTCTCACAGACTTTCCTGTCTTGACTGGCTTCAAATCTCAATCCTCAGATCTCAGCCTCCTGAATTGCTAGGATTATAGATGTGAGCTGTGGGTGCCCAGTTTGAGCTTGTTTCTAGAGGAACTAGATTGGAATAGAGTTTTCCCCATCACACCTTATCTCAGAACCTGTTTGTGGGGCTTCTCAGGCATAAACTGAGTGGCACAATGGAGAATCCAAGAAACCTTGTGTCAGCCATGATTCCTGGGACAGAAATGGCTGTTTGAATAATGTCATATTCACATTTGATTGTTCCCAGCAGAGTTTTTGGCCAGTCAGTGCCAGTTTGAGCTCCCAACCCCCCTCTCTCCATGATCTCCAAACCTCCTACAGATAAGTTGACAGCAAGGGACCAGGGGGAAGTAGTGGCTCATGCTTGTAATCCTAGCTACTCAGAAGGCTGAAATCTAAGGATTATAGTTCAAAGCCCCAAGCAGGAAAGTCAGTGCTATTCTAATTGCCAATGAACCAGCAAAAAAGCTGAAGGTGGAGATGTGTTTCAAGTGGTAAAGCATCAGCCTTGAGCAAGAAAGCTATGGGAAAGCATCTAGCACACACGTATGCACACAAGTGTACACACACATACACAAAGTGACTAAGGAAGAGCTCATCCTTTAGGGAGCCAGACCTATCAATATATGGGGGAAAAACACGCCATACAAAATATATACAGCAAGTGCAAAGGCCCAGAGACAGCTATATTTGCAGAAAAGTTAGGAGGCATTGTGGCTGGAGTAGAGTGGCTGGGGGGAATGTAGGAACAATGAGGGAGCCCCCAATGATCTAGGGCCTATGGACGATAGTAAAGATTTGGGTTTTCTTGGCCTAAGCTGAGAAAGCTAGCACTGAGCACACCACAGAGTTACCTGCCCTGTTGAATTCTGCGTTGACAGTGGCTGTCTTCAGGCTGGTCTTTGGCATGGTGAGCACAATGGGGGCAAACTTGACCTTGGTGACCTTCAGGAGGCTTTTGCCATCTGGACACAAGCCGGGGACTTGGAACCTGCCATCACTGTCTGTCCGGGTGAGCATCTTGGGTGTCTTGGTCAGCAGGTAGACAGTAGCCCCTGAGGCAGGGGCCCCCCCAGGGAGGGAGATAACCCCATGAAGCATGAAATCCTGGCACATGCAGGCGTCACAGTCAGCATTCGCCTGCCCCATGGAGCAGGTCAGGTCACATGCTGTTTGGACAAAGAGCCACGTCAGCTAGGTTTTATGGATTCTGACCCAGTCTTCCAACCCACGTTCCAGACTTCACATCCTCTCCCTTCCATCCTCAAGCCTTTGTAACCCTCCCTTGCTTGCCTGGGTGACTAATTCCTGCCCATCCATCCAACTTAGCTCAGGATACCTCCTCCAGCAGGTCTTCCTGGATTTCTCCAAGCTACGATCTCTGACCCAGCTCTGTGTTCCTATGTACCCTCATTATTTCCCATCACAGCCTCTGATGATACATGCTGAATTAAGACTAGGTGAGAGTGAATAATCGGATTCAGGCTAACCCTCTAACCCACCACCCTTCCTTGTCCAGTGACAGGAGGGAGCAGGGTACCTCTGCAGGCCTGGCTCACGCAGAGCTGGCCCTCTTCGGTGGCCTCAGTGCACATTGACACGGTCTCTGCCAGGCAGGTGCGTGTGCGGGTCTGGACTCCGGTGTGACCACAGGCCGCTGAGCACTTGGTCCAGGGAGACCAAGGGCTCCAGATGCGCTCCGTGTCTCCACGCAGGGACCCTGAAAAGTGGGATTGACAGAGAGATGTGGCTTCCTTTCCCTCCTTAGGGGACTGGGTAGGGAAGTCTGAGCCAGAAGCTGGGGAGGAGAGACAGGATTTCCATTTCCATCATGGATGACACTGAGAGTTATCTTTATCTCAGTGATCCTCCCCCAAATAGAGAAGTCCAGAGCTACCAGAAGCAGCATCGACTCTAGACACTATGTGGAAAAGAACTTTTTGGGTGAGGATGGGAAGGAAAGACTGGGAGAGAGCGAGGGAAGGAGTAATAACCAAAAAGAAATGTATTCGTCACCTGACTTATGTAATTGTAACCGCTCTGTACATCACCTTTACAATCACAATATTTTTTTTTAAAGGAGAAGCAGAGTCTCTAATTTGCACAAAGGAAGATAGACACTAGTGGCTCATTGCCTACAATCCTAAATATACAGGAGGCTGAGATCTGAGGATTGAGATTCAAGGCCAACCTAGACTAAAATGTTTAGGGAGAGTCAACAGGCACCTGTGGCTCATGTCTATAATCCTAGCTACTCAGGAGGCTGAGATCTGAGGACTGAGGTTCAAAGCCAGCACAGGCAGGAAAGTCCAGGAGACTCTTATCTCCAATAAACCACTAGAAAACTGGAAGTGGCACTGTGGCTCACACAGTAGAGTGCTTGCCTTGAGATGAAGAACTGAGGGACAGTGCCCAAGCCCAGAGTTCAAGCCCATGACCAAAAAAAACAAAACAAAAACAGTTTATAAGACTCTTATCTCTCATTAGCCACCAAAAAGACAGAAGTGGAGCTGTGGCTCAGTGGTAGAGCACTAACCTTGAAGGAAAAAGCTAAGCAAGAGTAAAAGGCCCTGAATTCAAACCTCAGTGCTAACACACACACACACACACACACACACAGAACCTATGAAGATTTACTATTACCTCTGTTTTACTTGTGAGAAATCTGAAGTTATGGGAGCTTGAGAAAACATGTCTAATCTAAGAACACAGTAGGATGTACAGTAGAATGGAGATTCGAACCCCAACAGCTCGGCCCCATCCAGATTCTGTGGCCCTTCCAACCGCCTTACTCCAACTCAGCACAGCAGGCTGGCAGAGAGAACCCATAAAGGCTCACAGTCTAAGGATACTACTTGGGTTTCTTTTGTTTTTTTCTTTCTTTCTTTTTTTGTCAGCCCTAGGGCTTGAACTCAGGGCCTAGGCAATGTCCCTGAGCTTCTTTTGCTCAAGGCTAGCACTCTACCACTTAAGCCACAGTGCCACTTCTGGCTTTTTCTGTTTATGTGGTACTGAGGAACTGAGCCCAGGGCTTCATGCATGTTAGGCAAGCACTCTACCATTAAGCCACATTCCCAGTCCTCCTCTTCTTCCTCCTCTTCCTTCTCCCCTCCTCTTCTTCCCCCTTCCTCCACTTTTCCTCTCCTCCTCCTCCTCCCCCATCCTCCTCCTCCCCCATCCTCCTCCTCTTCCTGCTCTTCTTCTTCCTCTTCCTCCTCCTCCTCCTCCTCCTCTTCTGCTCCTCCTCTCCTCCTCCTCCTCCCCCTTCCTCCTCCTATCCTCCTCCCCCTCCCTCCTCCTCTTCCTCCTCCTCCTCCTTCCTCTTCGTGTACTAGTCCTGGGGCTTGAACTCGAATCCTGGGCATTGTTGTCCCTGAGCTCTTTTGCTCAAGACTAGCACCCTACCACTTGTGCCATATTTCTACTTTCTTTTTTTTTTGGGGGGGGGAGTACGGTCGTGGGGCCTGAACTCTGGGCCTGGGCGCTGTCCCTCAGCTCTTCAGCTCAAGGCTAGCGCTCTACCACTTGAGCCACAGCACCACTTCCGGCT